ATTATCAATTAAGAAGAAGGTGCAATGCTACCCTGGAATTTGATCTCTCCATGCATCTGAAATGCAAGCACAATGCAATGATGATATTTATAAATTTAATGCCAAACAGGCTTGAAAAATTTATTCTGGTCTAAGCAGACAACGGGGGAGGGTGATATTGCTAGAAGACCCTGTACTGGCAATGAGCGAGACACCAGCTGAATAAACATTCATCCGTTAGCGTAAACAGATGCAGTGCTGGTGAAGCTCGCATTTAATTGACTGAACTGTGATTCTGAACAGTAGCTTATACTCCTTGCTACGACGTATGAGAGTAGGTGATTGTCATTTTATCTGCGTTTTCGATGCTTGCTAAATTTATACTATTACTTTGATTTTACTTTTATTAATTGCTAATGATTTTACTTTCATTAATTAATGCGTTGGATTTTGCGTTTGGACTAAGATATTGTTTGCATTATGAATTCCTAAGGGTCAGTATATTAAATTCAACTTGAAATATCATAGCATATCTCTACGTACCAAGATGAATAAGCGGCGATTTCCAATAATTCAATAATTCATTGTTTGAACAGTACAATTCGAAATAATACATGCAAATGATGCATAAAAGTGAACTTAACGTATAGCAGCCTTCGAATGTCCCAGCCATTTTGGGCATGGTTTGAATCCACCAAAAGAACAACGTTCGTCTCAACCGCGAATTCCCTTGAGCAATGAATTAACCCAGTCTCTTGGGCTAACTAGCCAAGCAACAGGCAGTAACTTATGACTTACGAAAAACAGGGACAGCTTTGCATTTTCTTCTGGTCATGCCAGAATGGATGAAGTGTTAACCCATGCTGTCCGACGCGAGCGCCACTAATGGCTGCACTTTAAACTGACTGACCTGATAACAGAGCATCTCTAATAATTAGCACAAGGTGTAACCCTAATTTTCCTGTTTCCATTTAAACGCTAAATTGGTAATCTAAAAATCAATCAATTCGGATCTCATCTAAGTAAACGAGGACAGTCATATGCGGATAATATGCATGCAAAAGGAAAGTCTGTCTTCTAGCAGAATGTCGGCCTACTATGCACTTTTGTTGTGGCCACCATCTGTGCTATTTTTTATGAAACCTATAAGGCAGCACTATAAATTATGAATGTTGTTTATAAAAGCAGTGCTTACAATCACGCGTGTCGAGTTTGCCTTTTAGTGTCCCTTTACCTACCTAAAAGCATGAAAGTACTTTTAAGGTGTTTGCTCTATGCTCAGCTGAGTGAACTACTAAACCATATGTTCGACTGCACCTACCTCATGTATTTGATGCATGGAATTTGGCAGTGCAGTGAAACAAAATTTCTGAATCTTTGCAGGTGGTAAAAAATCTATAAAACAAGAATCTCAATATTCAGGGGTTCCATTGCATGACCTGTTAACGGACATTCACCAGGGTCAGCAGGGACGTCAACAGGGTCATTTGCGCGATATAAATCAAAACCCAACTGTTTTTTCTACTACACTGCACCGACTCCCCACCACTTGGTCAGTCAGAAAAAAGGGAGCAGCGCAAAACACTATCGATGCGCAAGAGATGCCACCAAAATAGGATTCATCGAAATGCCTGAATCGCAAGAAATCAGGAATAGTGACCCAGAGTACTGTACTCTACAGACTCAAGTCAGTCAACCACGCGAGAATGCATATTTTCTGCAGAATCTTGCCAAAAGCATTAACCAATCTAGACTGTACATTATAGCAAGATGAAATAAACTGAATTGCACCAATTCAGGAGGACGAGTAGCGACACATGTGGCTTGAAATGACGTACACTCACTAAACTGACGATTCGAAATGGCATAGATTGGATTAGAATATTTATAGTGATCGGTCAATGCATTCCAACTGAAATGACTTCTCAAGAAATCTGTATGCTCTTCTGTATCGAACTGCTTTCAACAATAGGAGGAGTTTTGTTAATCCTCGTAGCGTGTCATTCCAACTACCAAAACGGCTCAATGGTGTAATCTTCACCGCATATCTGATCCCACAGCCATAACAGAGAATAAACGAAAATACATGCACATACATGGGATTACTCACATGCGAGATCAGCGAAATCCCCTTGTACTTAGAAAATTGATTTGACTACATTGATCAAAACAGCTTCCGCAGTTTGCTCAAAAGTCAATTGCTCTCTACAGCTTACAACTCTGTTCCTCGTTTTGTATTTGACGCAAGAATGATTTTTTTGTAGCGAAGACTGTTCCCACTTCTTATGCAAACTTGGGTTGTGTATATAATATTGAGAAGGAGAAGTGAACAACGCTAAGATCACGAAGATCTTATATGCTCAGAAAGCTGGTATTGTCTTCTGCACTAGCTTTCAATCATCTGCTCAGAAACTGGCAGTGTATAAATTAGCGACTTGTTGTTGCTTGCTGAATCGAGCCTAATTTTATCAAATATTATTCTAATGATAGTTACAATCTCTTGGCAAACGGGAAGACAACGTATAAAATGCTCTTTAAATTAGGGATATCTGACGTTTCGGACTAAGCTCGGTCCGTCTTCAGAGGACTCAGAAGTACTTGTACGATTTTCTATAATGATAGTTATAATAACAGAAAATTATTAACCAATCTAACCGTTTTAGCCTAGACAGCGTTCTTTACTAGAATGTGACTGTAAGACGAAACAATTTCAGAGATGCACCAAGTTGAGTTGATGGAACTTAAATTGACTCGTTGACAAGGGAAATAATACTTTAGACATATTGAGGACGTAAACAACCTCTTAGACTCATACCAATACTGTGTCATGGATGGCTCGATGCAGACAAGCCTTGCAAGAAGTGCGTATTAGCTGAAGCCATTCAAAGTGTCGCACCGACATGCGCTTAAGAAGATGTCTAACTTGCATTTATTAATACTTTTTGCAGTCCATTCTTCAGCCGCATGCCAAAACTATAGGTTCCTTAAGCTTTGTGACATTCGCTCATCTGAGCATTATATATCTTGGTATTAAGAGGTATTTATTTATTCATACTGAGGAGGGAAAGATTCCCAGTCGACACACACCATTTATAAGACGCGTTTGTTACGTAATGCACTAATCGTGGATCTCCTTTGGTCCTTCTTTGGATTCCCCGGAAGCAGCCGAGAGCCAGGAAGCTTTATTTTCCCATTAGTTATCAAACCTTGCCACTCATCTGAATGTCATGCGCCATTTGCGGTTTTACAAATCTGTCAAGCTAAGTTAATTTATTTTACTGCCTTCCTATTATAGTTCCATTGATCCTTCCGTCGAAAGGTGACCAGGAGCACTCTCAATGTCAAAGACTTAACTTTTGATTCCGCCAAGAATTTAAGCTCTTTTCTAAACTTCCTGAACCTGGAGACCTGAATGGACAGAAATAGTTTGTTTGGAATAATTTTGACTTTAAAGCCTACGTGTAGCTTCGTTGCCTGCGTTATGTTTACTGCCATGAAGGTGATATTTTCACGTCGACAAGAACTGCGTGCACAGAGCCATAAGCCATAGAGCGTTGATTGGCTAATGCCTGTCAACTGTTTAAATCTGATTGGTGCCGCGAAATTCGTTTCAGTGATACTCTGTTTGCCATACAGCGCATGCTGCGAACATACGTCATGCGCTGCGCTGTCGTCGAATTGGGCGATGGGTGGTTTTGCGAATGTCGCCAAACCAGATTTTTCAAACTTTTCAGCACTCCTCGTCGTCTGTCCTGTCGTCTCTGCTGCGTTGCCAGCGGGCACACACACGCAAACGCCATGTTTCGCTGTGCACCGTCGTCCAGCTACAGCAAATGGCAAAGACGAAGCCTTGCTTTAGCCTTAGCTTACCGTGCAACCGCATGATCTTCGTTGATTCGGTGGCACGTCATACCGGCTATCTGGAAGTCGCTTGTTTCGTAAGTCATCGCGAGCGATTAAGTTGCCCAACTTTCTGCTGTGTTAACCATGTGCGAACTTTGTGTGAACACGTGACTAGCAGTACTTCAGTAGACAGGCCGGCCGGCCGGCCATCCGGTGACCAAGCAACTAAGAACCACCCCGGAAGAAGTGCCGTCGTGCTGCCACTGCTGCGGTCAGCTGCAAGCCGACAACCCGATGGAGTTGGAAACCCCTTGGCGCCGGGACTTTAAGGTCCATTCAAAACTGAACGATGATCAGGTGAACGTTCTGACCACCCAAGGTCGAATCTTCAACTTCCTAGAACGACCCGTCGGCTTCCGTTGCTATTTCTACCACGTCTGCATGTAAGTCGTTCGTTTCACTATCTCTACACTGGCAATATTTACCGTGAAGTGAAGTCACGTGGGTTGCAAACACCTTTTAATGTGTACAAACGGGCCGAAGGTCGCCGTTTCAAGATTAATACAGTTAATTAATGATAAGAGCTAATGATGCCTTCGATAGTACTTACCCAATTCTAACCAGAGCATCTTTATCGGCAAATACGCAATACGCTAATTTACAATGTGGTAATCCGTCTATACCTATATGGACCAGAATTAATTCGCGGTTTAGTCCAAACCGTGACTTTGCTCTTTTACCGCATTACCGTCAAATGCCCAGCCAAGAAACAAAGCCAAAACATAAATC